AAAGCTTAAACAGTGTAAAGAAAGTTTCTTTCCTGTTCTCGTCCTCCAATCTCCCCTTCCCTCCCCAGAGGTAGTCCCTGTTCTGTTTCTTATAATTCTTTCCAATTTGAATATACAAGCATGTCCATATATATTATTTGAACATTTACACATAAATGTTAGCACAATATATCTGCTGTTCTTCACTTTCCCACTTAAATCATCTTAGAATTTTTTTCTGAAAAACTTGAAACCGACTTGAAAATCTTTGCCCCTTCTGTCTCCTGTTAACCCCAGTCAAAGAAGGAAACAGTTTTAGTTCCAATAAGAACAATAATCACAGCAGATTGAAATACTTTTTGTTGTTCAGTTGTGTCTGAGTCTTTGTGACCCCATGAACTGCAGCACGCCAGGCTTCCCTGCCCATCGCCATCTCCCAGAGCTTGCTCAAACTCATGTCCATTGAGTCAGTGATACCATCAAACCATCTCATCCTCTGTCATCCCCTTCTCCTCCTGCCTTCAACCTTTCCCAGCATGAATGAAATACTTGAAACATATTTAAAATCAAGAATTCATAATGATTTTTAAACAGAATAAAATTTCACTTTTTTGGGAGGATGTGAGAGTATCATCTCAATTTTCTGAAAACTGGTAAATAAAAGGAAAGACTCCAACTAACTATTCTCCTTTTTCTTCACAAACTGAACCTTGAGGTAGCCAAATAGTTTTTTTAAAACATACATTTATTGGTTTATTTTTGGCTGTGCTGGGTCTTCACTGCTCTAGCTGCAGAGAGCAGGGTCTCCTCTCTCGTTGTGGTGCATGGGCTTCTCATTGCGGTGGCTTCTCTTGTTGCCAAGTACGGCCTCTAGCGCGGGCAGGCTTCAGTAGTTGCAGAATGCAGGTTTGTTGCCCTGTGGCATCACCAGGGATCGAACTGGTGTCCACCACATAGCAAGGTGGATTTCTTAACCACCAGGGAAGTCCGCCAAGTAGTTGATAGGGGAAATTCCTCTTTAGAGGCATGATAGATGCTTACTGTTTTGCAGCCCCTCACCAATTAGTGGATTCAGGCAATAATCATCAATGGCTGCTAACATTACAGGAGAGACACTAGACATTCTGTGCCTCCTGATGGGAGTATTTCATATGTATGGGGTAATTTGTATTTCCTTCACTGTGAAGTGTCTCTGTGTATTTTTAGTTTTTTTTTTCTTGTTGATTTGTAGAAGCTCTTTTCATTTCAAAGAAATTAGCCAATGGTCTGTAATATGAGTTGATAATGATCTTTCCCAGTTTGTTGTTTTCTCTTTTAATTTTGCTTTTACTTTTTTTTTTTTGCTATTTCAATTAAAAAATGAATATAGTTGAATTCATCAATATTTTATGACTTTTAGATTTTGGGGGGTCATTTTGTTAATTAATTTATTTTTGGCCATGTATTATGGCTTGTGGGATCTAAGTTCCCTGACCAGTGGAAGCGCAGAGTATGACTTTTATTGATATATTTTGTATGATACCTTAAACAATCTTTTCTGCTTTGAGATTATAAAAGTATTCTCTTCTCTGTTGTTTAGTTCCTTCATGGTTTCCTTTTTATGTCAAAATCTCTGATCTATCTGGAGTTGATTTTGATGTAAGGAGTGAAATAGGGATGTAACTCAGTTTTTGTCTAGGACACTACCCATTTGTCATAGTACAGTTTGCTGAATAGTCTGTCTTTTCTGTAGCAATTTAAAATGTCAGCTTTGTCATATACTGAATTACTTAATTCCAATGTGTATTTAATTCTGTTTCTGAACTTTCTTGTTTATTTAATCGACATCTGCCTATTCATGTATCAGTGCCACATTGTTTTAGTTGTTGTGACTTTATAGTATGTGTTAGCTAATACTTTGGAGAATAACCCTACCCCTCCTCATACACATAAGACTCTTCATCTCTAGAATGTTTATGGCTATTCTTCTGTATTTAGTTTTCTTTATAAATTATTGAATAAATGTATTTGGTTCTCAAAAAAGTCATGGTTTTTTAAATTGGAATTGAGTAAAATTTATAGATTATGTGTAAAGAGACTTGCCATCTGTTGTGTTTTACTAACTCAACCAAGTTACTGGGAATATAAATAAAAATTCTTGCATTTATGTTGGGGAAACATCAGTTGCACAAAATACAGTTGTTTATTAACTAATTTACTCTGCATGTCAGACAATATTTCATATATTGGAGAGAAAGCAGATTATTTAAATTAATCGTAGGTGGTTCCTAGGCTCTTTGCTGTTTGTTAAGATCAAGCTTGGCATCATATCATGTGAAGAAATTATAGTTTCAGCTGACATCCAATCTTACGTTAGCCGACAGGATCATGTGGTTGTTTCTGAGTAATTATAATCCTGGGTCACATCAGAGGATGTGCAGAGAGGGAAAAGTAGTATGTAGCAAGTGAGTGGTTCAGGCTCTGAAGGCAGACAGCAGGGGTGCGAATTAGGTGCCCTATGACCTTGGAAGTTTATTTAACCTCTTTGAGCTTCAGTTTCCTCAACTGTAAAATAAGGTTGTGTATGAGGCTTAAATGAGATCATCTGAAAGGCTTTGCACTTTGTCTGGTACATACTGGTGTTCTTTAAACATTGCTGTTATCAATTATATTGGAAATCTAACTCTGCTGGTCTGATATTATCTCATTTATTATGTTCAGTTTGCGATATCATTATTTAGAAATAAAGGCAATAGAAGAAAACTAGAAAAGGGCAGCCAGGCCGTTAGAATAGGGCGTGACCTAGAGACATTAATGAAATAGTAGGCCTTTTACTGGAACAGAGAGAGTAAATGAGAAACAGGGTGGCTAGATATTTATTCTGTATTGCTTGAGAGCATGGGGATTAAAACCATCTAGTGGAATTCAGTTTAACATAAGGAAAGTCTTTCTGGTAGCTACTTCTGTTCAACAGTGGAATGGCTCTTTGGATGAGAGGGGAGTTTGCAGGAGAATGGACACATGTATATGTATGGCTGAGTCCTTTTGCTGTTCTATCGGATACCTGAAACTATCACAGCATTGTTTTTTTTTTTTTCCATTTATTTTTATTAGTTGGAGGCTAATTACTTTACATCATTACAGTAGTTTTTGTCATACATTGAAATGAATTAGCCATGGATTTACATGTATTCCCCATCCCGGTCCCCCCTCCCACCTCCCTCTCCACCCGATCCCTCTGGGTCTTCCCAGTGCACCAGGCCCGAGCACTTGTCTCATGCACCCAACCTGGGCTGGTGATCTGTTTCACCCTAGATAATATACATGTTTCGATGCTGTTCTCTTGAAACAT